AAAACTTTAGACTCAAACCTATATCAAATTGAGACAAAATTTATTCTTGACCCAAATTGAAGCAGACTCAAATTCTATACCAAATTTTTAACGGTAACTTTTTAACCTATCCAAAACTGAAAGACTAGTCAATAACTTGTTCTCTGTCTCTTCTTGCCTCTCTCTACTGCGTTGCTTCAATCGCCGACCACCACCGAATATTTCATAAATCATTTGAAGACCTGCAGGTAAGTTTTTTCCTTTTCATCTTCCATTTTTTATATTTTTCAAAACCCTAATCTCACCCACATTTTATTCTATATAAACCTTAAGCATACCCATCAAATTTTTCTTTGATTTTTTTGAGTTATACACTATCGATAGTACAATTTTAGACTATCGATACTTCTTGAAATTCTAAGCCTTTGCAAACCCACAAATTTAGAAATTGTCATTTTATTTCTTCAACCTTCTATTTTTGTTAAAAACGTATATTTTTGTGTTCTTTAGACCAGATCCATATTAAAATAGTTATATATTTTTTCTTTTTGTTCTTATTTATATGGATTTATAAAAAATGATAAGGGATTTGAACAATCTTAAAATTCTGGGATGGTTTCTTTATTCCCATGTAGTGTTATGTACATATTCATTTTTTTTTAATTACTCATATGTGGAGAAATATGAAAGTTTCATTTATTTTATCAAATATCATGATTTGAATGACACAAAAAAATGAGTTTTGGGACAATAAGAGAATTTTCTAAAAGATTTGAGTAGATATTTGAATTTACCCATTAGAATACTCTATACCAAATCAAGCTTTTTACTTAAATTTAAACTCAAATTTGAGTCAAAATTTGAATCATGGTTGAAAATGTTCTTACATACAACCACATGATGAAATAAAGTGATTATTTGGTAAAATTGAGTCAAAATGAAGATGTAGCAAACACTTGGTTCTAAAGTTATTCGGTTCTAGTCAAATTTTTATTTTTAATGGATTCAAATATGAATTTTGAAAATATAACATAAAAAATTTATACGTGTCACATTTTATTAGACAAAAAAGTGAAAAATATGGTATCATATTTTGTCATACTTTGGCTTTTTTGATAAAATATGAAAATTTTAAATACGAACAATTTAAGTATTATACAAAAAAATAATTTTTTTGTTCTAGAACTAAAAGATTTCAAATAAATTGTTGATACCATAATTAAACCCAAAATTTAATGATATTTTTTTACGGTGTAAAGGTTTTACTTGAAAAACTTTGGTTTTGAACAACAGATGGGGGAATACCCTTGTGCTATAGTTCACAAAACATGTAATAGCACACTATACTGTTTTTTTGTAACAGTAGAGGAGCCGCTTCCCACTTGGAGAGGCAAGACAACAAATAAGAAAAAAAAGCTTTGTCTTCAACTAACTTATGGATATTGAATTAAACATTGAAAGTGACTATAATGATAAAAAAATAACCAAAAAATAAAAAATGTTATTGGGTTTTTGATTGCAAATTGTGTAACATTTTGTGCCTTAGATTGAACTCTTATTTCATGTAGGACAAAACCATCATATAGACTAGGGTTAACAATGGGTGCATTGGTCCATCCCAGTCCTCCGTTACTCGGGTTGACTCCTTGCAGTTCGCTTTAACACTAACAGTAGATAGGAACTCAACTGTCTCCTAACGTTCTAAACACTAATTTCCATGTTGTATGGAATCTTGAAGTAGTTCACATATATCTCATTGAATTTAGGTTGATGCCATAAATTTGTAACTTAAATTTTACTAATTGTTCTCAAAGTTGTGGTCAGCCAACACTGAATTGGAAACATAAGTAAAACATTTGAAATATAGATTGTTGTCCTACATGTAACATGGAATATATATGCTTGGAATTATGTGGTAACATGAATTTGGTCATTTGCAATGTCGAAAGATATATCATGAAAAAATGTTTTCATTTGAACCAAATTTCCAATTGGCCCTCTGAGTATCTAAGTATAAGACAGAATTTAAAGGAGCCACAGGTCATACCAATCAAAAGGTGGGTACTTTAACAAATATCAACCAACAAAGAAAAATATCATGGTGATTACATGTGCATTGCACTTCAAAATACTATAGAATAGTTTTGTTTTAATCTATATAACAACGTTCATTCTGTTAAGATTGTCTACAACTTTGGACTCAAGGCTAAAAGCTCTTAAGTGTCCTCCACACCACATTTGAGAGTTCCACCGACTTGTATCTGACCTGAGAGCTTACAATCTGATACCGTTCATATTTTGCATAAATCACAAGTCTCACGCAACTTGGCGACTTATGACATCTTTGAGTTAATCCACGGTCATCTCTATCATCATCATCGACTTGGCTGACACCATTCCAGGATAATTCAATATGATATGAATCCCTCGTATTCGACTTCTTCTATATATCATTTTGTGCGTATCTCCTGATATTGTTTGACCACTCGCAACCGATGCACCTCAGTATCCTCTGATTCAATGATTGATATCGTGACCTTGAACCATGGTGCTACTACTCTTAATTTTGCGGTCTTAAAGTTCTATTGTGAATTAGTAGTTAATAAAAAATTGTTCATTGGTTCATTGTGGCCCATTATGTTTTAATGAAAAACACGGCACTATGCAACGCTCACATCCCTTCGATAATTGGCCTAGCCATGGTGATTGATGGGGGAAGCTTGCTTTGGTAAAAGCATGAACTGCAACTGGTTCCTTGTAAATGGATGTTTATGTTATTTAGACCATGGTTTGCTATGTACTTTCTTTCTTCTTCTTCTTCTTCTTCTTCTTATCTCTCTCTCTCTCTCTCTCTCTCTCTCTCTCTCTCTCTCACACACACACACACAAACAAATTCAATTGGTTATTAGATGATGACATGAATTCCAATGTTTGATTGATGGTGACCGTGAATTGTTGCAAGGGTGAGACATTTTATGGTTCACTAGGAGTGTGAATTGAAAAACAATGATATTCAAATTAAAATTTTTGGTATACATCACAATTGATGCTCATTATGGGGAACCCATCTAGCATTGCACCACATTTGAATTTTGAGTTATGCTTGTTATTATAGCTTCATAGGTGATATCCTTTAGTCTTGGAATGTTTTAGTTAAGCAGATTTGACAAGAATATGTTCAACATTAGGACTCAGTTCCACATTCAGGGATGTGTGGGAAGCATGGTGTACCTCCTCATTTTTTCCAGGCAGTTTACAGTTTTGATCAGGTTCCAGGTTATGATACCGGTCATCAACCGTTAGTAGTCTTTTGTGATGGACAACTTTCAAAGACTAGCTACGACGATGGAACTAAAATGCAAAAGCATCTCAATCTTAAAACTGATCCATGGAAAGTTATGCTGTGTTACAGTTGTACTTAAATGAAGAACAATGGTGGAGTTAATCTTTCAACTAAACTCAACCATCTCTTCTCACTCCCATATCTCTCTCTCTGTCACCTTCCTATTTCACTCATTTATAATCACATAGACGAGCAGCTGTGTGCAGGACCCACTAGTCTAGCATTATGGGAAAGCAAAAAGTTAAACTAAAATTTGGATTTGGTGTAGCTTTGCTTCTTTATTGGCGGGATGGATTGCACCTCTTGTTATAATGTGAATTTAAATAGTACATCTATGAATTTATGCAGCTTGCTTTATGTATTAATTGCAGTTTCAACTCAAATTCTATTTTGTTAGACATATTTACTCTGAATACTTTAATAGTTTCACAATTTATTTTTTTTTTTTTTGGGGGGGGGTTCTTCTATATAATTTGTGTGAGCTCCATAACTAGTTTGAGGAAGAATGCATTCCAGTTTTATTTTCAAACTCATACTTTTGCATAAACTTGTAGTTATGCACTGCTACCTTATTACTGTAATTCTCAAAGGAATGGTTTGATAAGTATCTGTGTCATGTTTGTTTATTTACTCAACAATCAACATTAATAGATCTTGTAGTAGACACACAATTATTATTGTAGACCTTACAATCCTTGTCTTCTTGAAATTATTTTAGGGAAGATCCCAAAACTTGGATAAAAGTTTTAAACATGTCTGGAACATTTTTTGGTTCTTTTTAGTGTACCACACCCTCTTGCGGGGAAAAAATTAAAAAGTTTAAAAAAACTAGTTTTCTTGAATGTGAATCACATTGCTCGAGTCTTGTAACATTTTTTTTTTTTCTGTATGATAGTTGCCTATTCTACCTTGTTTCTTTCCCTTTAAGAGATTGGATGAAATGAGTAAAGGGAAGAGATATTCTGCCCAGGATAAGATGCTGATTGCATGTCTCAAAGAATCACTTCAACAATGATTTTCAATGACATGTGTCTTACGAGCTTATAGCATGATCACTTGATGCACACATACCTTTGGAACTGTACACAGACTGAAACAAATAGGAAAATATATTTCATATTTCTTAAAGAAACTTCCATTCAAGATCAGAACATGTATATCCTTCTGTATTAGAATTTACAAGCTTTGACTCAAAAAGATTTCAAATGACCTATCGTGAACAAATGAAATCGTACATAGTATGCGTCAAGTCAAAACTAGTATCGAAAACTACCGGTGATCCTCTGTTTTAGGATCCAAAAGCTCTATTTGTCGGCAGGTTGAGAAGTGTTTTGCTAGAAACAGGAATGCACTTGACAAGCCAACCAATTGGCCATGACAATGCAGCTATTCCAATGCATATAACCCATTGCACCCAGTTCAACCTTTCAGTGTCAGCAAACTTCTTCAGAAACTCCACCATAACCACTTGGAAAACTATTGTCATCCCAACAATCCCTAGAAACAGTCTGTTCTTCAGTATCCCCTTGAATATGTTCTTACTCTCCAGCTTCCTTGCATTAAACTCGTTAAAAACTTGGCACAGGACAAAACTATTGAAAATGAGGGTGTCCTTGACCTTATTGTCCACACCAAAGATAGTGCTTCCTGAAACTGTAGGATCAATAAGACTGTTACCTGATACAAGGCCTGAGCAATGAGGTTCCTCCACATGACTTTGGTAATAAGCGGTTCGGTTCGACCCACAGGTTTCTTTGTCATGAGATCATTAGTGGGTTGCTCGGTGGCTAAGGCTAAGGCCCCTAGGGTATCCATGATGAGGTTCACCCAGAGCAGCTGGACCGCTGTTAGTGGGACTTCACCAGATGATAGTGCAGCAACAAAGTTGATGACTAAGGCAGCAACATTGACAGTGAGTTGAAATTGGATGAACTTTTGTATATTGTTGTACACACACCTACCCCACTTCAAAACTGTTACCACAGATGTGAAATTGTCGTCCAAGATAACAATATCTGAGCTCTCTTTTGCTACTTCTGTTCCCTGGATCCCCATAGAAAGCCCGATATCTGCTTCTTTGAGTGCAGGTGCATCGTTGGTTCCATCTCCGGTTACCGCTACAACGTGGCCTTTTTGCTTCAAACATTGGACCATGAGCAGCTTGTCAAATGGGGAGGATCTTGCCATTATGCGAATTCTTTCAATGTTTTGCATTCTTTCTTCTTGTGAGTAATTTCTGAATGTTACACCTTCGACTATTGCATTGTTCAAATCCTCATCAGGTTTGATAATCCCACATTCATTGGCTATAGATTTTGCAGTGAACACATTGTCTCCAGTGATCATTTTGATGTGAACTCCAGCGTCTCTGCAGGACTGAACTGCTGCCCTTACACCTGGTCGGCATGGATCCTTCAACCCCAACAACCCTAACAAGGTCAATCCGGTTTCTTCGAGCTTTTCAGTATCCTGTTGGTTTTCTATTGCAAACTGTTTGCAGGCAAGAGCGATACATCGCAAGCTTTTAGCAGCCATATCTTTAATTACTGTTTCAAACTGCACTCTTTCTTCGTCATCCATGGTTAGTTTCATACCATTTCTGACATAATAATTAGAACACATGGCTAGTATCATCTCAGCAGCACCCTTCCAATGTGTATGAACTGTGTTGTGACATATTTCCTTCACCAAAACCCCACTTCTTTTCTTCTCTGAATTGAAAGTTTCAACATGGAGAATCTCATGACCTTGCTTCAGTTCATCAAAATCCACACCCAACTCAAGCACAGCCCAGGAGAGGATGGCTGACTCAGTTGGGCTACCAGAAATTTGTGGCATTGAAGCAGAGATTGGTCTATAGACTTCACCAGTTGTATTTAGACCAACACTTTCTTGTAGCAATTCGAGAACATTCGGGGCTATCTCTGAAGTTGTCTTATCCTTCATTTCCTCTTTTCCTAGGAAAAATTCAATGACATTCATTTGGTTTAATGTGAGTGTGCCTGTTTTGTCTGTGCAGATGGTAGTTACCGAACCCATTGTCTCACAAGCTGAGAGTTTCCGAACCATGGCATGATCAGCCATCATTCTCTTCATTGAGTAAGCGAGAGTGAGAGTAACAGCCAGTGGGAGACCCTCTGGAATTGCTAATGGCAGAGACTGCAACGACTAGAACAACAGCAACAATTATACTTCCACCATTATACCACCCTTCTTTTGGCCCATCCTGCTTAATTCCAAACCCTAGAGACAATACTGCACACACCAGAAGTATGATTATGGTGGTGTCTTTGAGACCTTCGATCACGAAACTGAGGAAACCTTTTGCAGGCAGCTTCTGGTACGTGTTCGACCCGAAAACATCGATTCTGTTCTGAATGTCATTCATGTTGCCACTGATACCAGCTTTTTCGTGAGTTTCAAGAATTGCAGCAATTTCTTTCACCCCTCCATATTGAAGGAGGCCATCAAAGTTTTTGTCTCTCACCAGGTCAGAAAGTGGCTTTGGGTCGATATCCCGGAAGGTGAAGTGATCGTCGTTGGGTTGAACATCAATGGCAACGTAAGATGGGCTGCGTAGAACCCTGGAAAGGGTTTGGGATTTCTTGGAGAGAAAAACAACAAAATATATGGCTCGGAACACCATCTGTAGTCGTTTGTGGGGTTTTCCTAGTGAGAAATCTTTGTGGATGAACATGGTTTTGTCACCGTTTCTAGGAGACTCTGGAGGCATTAAAAAATTGAAGAACAAGTAGGAAAGGATGCGTAGAGAGTGGTGTGTTACCGTGTCAATACGAATGAGCCAACAAGAGGGTATTGATTCGTAACAGAAGAGCAAGATGGTTTGTTTCTTTTATAGGAAATATTGAATGCGTGCAATTTCTTCGTAATTTCACTGTAACTTCGTCACTTGTTCCTCAACGATAGTCTTCGCGGAAAAGGGCAGTTCTGTCATTGCTTCAATTGTTTCTTAAAATATTATTAAACTAGTTATTCGTGTTTATCATTAACCTAACTTATTTATCATTTGTATTCGTTGATTGTAATATATTTGGGTTCCTCTTTGTCCTATTAATTTGCGAAATTGATACTCATACGATATTTTCTATGTTGAAACTGTGCATGCCGTGTTAATTGATTATACATTTCCTTTCTTCCAAATATATATATACAAGCAACGATCTCGTGTAATGCAAAAATATGTATCTGCTCACCTTCCACTATCTTCTCCAATCTTCCACTCCACCAGTTAATGTGTAGGGCAATACTTTGCATCCCAAATGAGTAGGACCTTTAGATGAGTGGATCTTTTTGAAAAAAGTTAAAGAGATTCATTGATTCAAGGGCTTAATATTGGTTTGGGATACAATCTGGAACCCCAAATTTAGGATCTCTTAGCATTGCTCGGAGGAGTAAAAAACTTAAACATAATTATAAAAACTTGAGATGATATAAATTAATTTTTTAAAAATATTTAAATGAGGAATTATTAGTTAGTAGAGGGGTGGTTATGACACATGATGAAATGTAACTAGATTGAATGCATTAAAATAACTTAAAATTCTAAGAGTGGAGATAATAGGGAGGGAAGGTTTTCCAAGGTATCTCACACTAATATAATATAGAAATATATATTGATATAGATGGTCATAACCCTTACCTGAAGGCACAATATAACATTAAATTCAAGTATCTAAAAAATTGATACCACTATATCCAATAACACTGTTTCTTTCATTCCTTTTTTTAATTTTATAATTTAAAATTAATTTTTACCAATTATTTATTTTTTTTATAAAGAAAATTGATAAAATTTTATCAAAACACATGACCTCAAAAAAATATATATATCAATATGTGTCAACTATTGTATATGAAAAATGTTTGCAATAAAATTTGTAATGAGCAACAAATTATTTTTTATAAAAAATTGACAATTTTTTTAAAAAAATACATGACCTTAAGAAATATATATCAATATGTGTACACTATCATATATGAATAATGTTTGAAATAAAAATTATATTGAGCTACATTATTTATAAAAAAAAATATTTGACAAAATATTTCTCAAAATACATGACCTCAAATAATATATATCAACATGTGTACATTATCGTATATAAACAATATTTGAAATAAAAATTGTATGGAACCACAAATTGATAAAAAAAAAAAAATTAAATAATTTAAAGTTGTGATAGAAATAGGTGATATGATAGAAGTGGATGAAAAAAATATATGGAGATAAGATGGATAGATTCCATCATTTTTTAAATTTATTTTTTATCTTTCACCTTTTTAGTTAAGAAGGTAAATAAAAAAAATTAAACTAAATTATTGAATAGTAAAAATAATTTTATACAAATAAATTTGAAACAATAATAGGGAGTTAAGGGGTGGTTACACAATGAAGATGATATAATTAATTGGAGGAATGCTTAGTATGGTAATTAAAAAAAATCAAAATTCTAAAAAATTAGGAACTGTGGAGAGCAAGTTTTCTCCGTTCTAATTTGCATGTATATATATAATTTGCTTGTATATATATAAATATATATTTATTTCTCTGTGTGTGTGTGTGTCAGTGTGTGTGTGCCCCTACACAATGTGTCATATTCCTATACCAATGAATTTTTTTTTCTTTTCCATACTTTCTAAAGTCTCTTAACATTGATGAGTTTGAATTGAAATAGTTGGCTCCCAACATAAGCTTTGCGTAATTATGGATATTATTGATTGCAGCTATCGACCTTTACTTTACAAATGTGAGTCTAGTGTGACATTTCCTTAGAAAGGTTGACTGACCAAAAAAAAAAACTCACACACACACGCCCACAGTTGCTAAAACAATAATATTCCTCTTACCATCTATTTGCATCAAAATTTCTTTACTAACTTAAATTGCACAATCACAACCACTGGGTGATTAATTGAATCTAATGGGACACATTAATTCAAAGGTTTATATAGAATTAGTAAGAAAAGGTTGGTTATTTTTATAATTCCAGTGTACTTTATCCAATTCATTAAAATATGATAAAAATATTTCATATATTTAAGTGTTCAATTGACCTGAGGGTGTTGATTTAATGTAAACATAGAAAAAGACTAACGATTTTCTTACAAGAAAGTTACAAGTATTACTTTTGACGGGTTTTTTTGCATTTTGCACTTTGAAAGATTTTAAATTTTTTATTTTGTAATTTTAAAGATTAAATTTTTATAAATTGTACCTTAAATGTATCAAAAGTGTTACAATGTGTCATTCTATTAGCTTCTATTATTTTTTCCGTCAAAGACACGTTCATTGACACTGACGAAAAAACTAACAAAAAATTAATAGAAGAATCACATTATAAAAATTTTGATACATTGAGAGTATAATATGAAAAATTTAATTTATGAAGGTACAAAATAAAAATCTTAATATCTTTGAAGGTATAAAATGTAATTGACCCTATTTTCAATGTCTTCCTTTTTTTTTCCATCTGTTAACTCATTGGCCACACCAGGACATGGGGGATATGATGTTTGCAGGCAATCGTCACCCATTTGTTTATAAAAATTACGAAAAGTTTGGTGTAAATATAATTTTTATTTATTTTTCTCGATCGAAGATAAGTATATAATTAGTTTTCACTTACAAATTGAGGGTCTCAGTTTAATTTGTGATAACTAATATATAATTGAGTAAAATTAAGAAAAGATGTACTAGACAAAATTTTACTTTGATTTAGGTGAACTCTAAAAGTTAAAGGACATATTACGTTCAAGTATAAGGGACGAGATTGGTCTAAATTAGTTCACTGGTAACCTATGCTATGTTTGGATCATATTATAGGGTTGGGTCCCGTAAAATTGGCTATGTCTGTTGTTACCATAACCCCAAATACTTGATATGATCCAATCCCTGTGATAGGTGGCAGAAAAACTAAGTTACTTAGTCATGAGTTTTAAGATTTAATATATATGGAGGGGATTGATGAAAATTCTGAAGACTTTTCTCCTATAGGTGTTATTGTTACAGATGTGCAGTAGTTTCTTCGTTTGTTTATTTTTTCTTCTTTGTTTATTGTTAGAAGGTTAGAAAATTGTGTAGCTCACCAACTAGTTCAAAAGGCTAGATTAGGTGAAAATATTAATGTTTGGGAAGAGATGACACCAGATTTTTTGATACCATCTCTTCTCTCAGACTCAACTTCTTAATAAAATTTAAACATATTTAATTATCCTTATAATATTAATATGTTCGTGTGATATCGATTATGATATTAGGACGTAACCATTGTAACATTATCTATAATTGTGAGTTCTACAATTTAATAAAGTCTAATATCCGTCAAATGACCATAGTCAATGGTCCTCACCAATTAAATCTCAAATTAGGTGTAACATGTGTCACAAAATCTGTGTGAAAAGGTCTATGCTTTGTCACTCTATGGGCGAATTCGCCACAAATTCACACTCTTGTGAATTCATTGAATTTGCAGATTTAAGTTTGCCAATTTCTTAATTTCACTAAAAAAATTTGTGAATTCAATTAATACATTTGATGAATTAAAACAAACAAAAAAAAACATATTCAGATTATTAAATCTGAATCAAAAAGATTATTTAATCAGTAAATTTTAAAAAATAAATTCTCTAATTAGATACAAGATACCATTTTTACCCCAAATTAATGACCCTAGTAACTCCCTAAAAGTAATGTCTTATTAATTAAGTAATCTAATTTTTTAAAAGTCATGATTTTGAAGTCAAATAATAAAGTCAATCATATTTATTGATAAACATTTTGCAAAATTAAATACCCTTTCAAATGACTTGAAAATTAAAATGAATCATACCATATTGAATCCCATTTATAATAGAGTAGCATGCTGGTCGCGGTTTCTTTGGATTGATGATGTCATTATGTGTGTGAATCAGGTCACCAACTATTTTTACTTACAATTTCTTTTGATGAATATTATTGCGTTAATAATCGTGTTTAATATAAAAAAAAAATGCTCTACTACTTTGTAAAATTTTGATTGCAAAGTAGAGAGAGAATGGAGAGAAATTAGAGAACTCCTACGATGACTACGCCAATTTGCATACACCATAAAAGAGAAAAAAATATAGGAAATCCTTACAATAATGAAAAAAGCACTACTCATCTACCTCTAATATAAGAATACTCTATAGATAATCCTTCTGCTCTAAGAGGGGATTATTTAATGTCATACCATTTTATACCCCTAGTTAATAGTTACTTTGTTTTATGCTTGAAAGAAGGGATTGATACGCAATGAAGAACATGATAAGAGATTTTGAAGGTGGTCTTTTGAACGCTTGCAATTTCACTGTAACTTTGCACCTTGATTTCTTCCAATGCTCAATCGACTTCTCCAAAATTCTAGCGATATTGGCAAGTTATTAACGAACAAAAATCTTTTTTGTTGCACGGTGACATCTGCTCAGCTCATGAATATAGTCGACGCAAATCTAAATATTTATACCAACAAAAAAAGAAAACAAAAAAAGATACATAAATCTTCTTTATTGCACTTTTACTTCAGGAAAAAATATTCCTTATCCTGCCACTGTACATCAAACTAATGGATGTATCCCACCTTATCTTTAATCAAGTTATTCATGAAATTCACAAGCACTACTAGTCAATGTTCACTATTTTCCACAAACTCAAAATGTTCGCTGTTTTCCACAAACTCAATTGAACCCGTTATC